GATGTGATGTCATTGATGAAAAGCCATGAAGCAATTGTTTCTGGTGTTGAGACAAAGTCGTACTTTACATTTCGAACACAGTATCGTGGATTTACCACTACAGCCGGGAAAACGACAGCGCCCTTTATCCGTTGTGGCTGGTCAATGGTTGACGCTATCACGTTGAACAACAATTGGTGGAAGTCGAATGGATGAACGACGTGGCTTTTCTGTTGAATTTTCTTCGTGAGATCGAATGCGTAGAGATGGTCGACCACGCTGTTTGGGCTGTGTGGAGATACTTGTTTTCAACAAAGCTTCAGCAACATCGATACCATAACAAGACGTCATCTACGTAGGTGATTCGATGATCCACTGACCCGCGACCTTCCTTTGACAATTGTTTGGCTTCTTTCATCGCTACGTCGGGGAGTCGATTAGGTCGAACTGTGCCAGTACTGACGCCAGGATACTAGACAAAAGAGCCTCATCACTTCGCGTGTCTTGTTTTTCTTACTGACACTAGTCGAAAACAGCACCCCTCGAACCACTGGTATTTTCACTTTCTTTTCAGATGATCATGCTTGAAATCTCTCTAGCTGTGTTGTCGTCGATACGTTCGAGATTTCATCTGTGCTAGAGAAATCGAGATTCAGAATAGTCTTAGAGTACAATGAGGCTTCACTAGGATGTAATACAGCCTATCAAGTTGAATGTAAAGATCAATGAGAAGTGCCCAAAAGGGAACATTTTGAGTTTTTTGTTTATGTTCTTATCGAAAAATTGGCGCAAATATCGGCATATAACACTCACTAAATGAGAAGATTTTTGCCATAAAAAGCTTGTGTCTTGTTTATCAATAAATTGTGAAAAAGCGATAAATATGGCTTTCTTGCTTTTCCATTGTAGTTAATTGCCATGAGCTCTTTTCGATACGGCGTAGTGCAATTATTTTGAACGAAAGGCGAAATGATTGTGCCATACATATTCTTAATTATCATGGTATAAGATTGATTTTTGGTACTAGTTTGAACATGTTCTTAGGTAAAATACTCTTTCAATGTGGCCATTTGGGCACATCCGGCCGTAAAGGGTTAAATAAATAAATAACGTGAATCGCATCGATTCACTTAGTCCATCGCCTGTAAGTCGAATGAATGTCCAGAAAATCTTTTCATGCGGACAATATCGTGGTCACTTGTTCTAAATCTGGGAAATTGACAATAAGTCTGGTACAGTACTGGATTGATAAAGTTCTTTAATCGGCGATCAAAGAAAAGAAATTTTTATTACTGTCTGACTATTGGGGTGGCTAAAGAGATCTTAAGTTTTACGAGAAAATGAAACATTTAGAGAGAATGGAAATTCTCGCTCTTTTGAAAACGTATAGCAAATTTATTTCAGCTTTGACAGTCATCGTTGTGAAAAACCTCATTGTAATAATAACATAATTAATAACATTGTAATATAACTTTCATAAAATGTAGTTATTGCTCGAAAGTACTATGTTTCGAAGACTTTTATGAGAGGTATCATGTACACTGAACTTCTGAATGTTTAGTTTAGTTCATTTATTCTTACAAGGCTACTGTGTGCTGCACAGTTTGTAAATAGTTGTTGTCAGAAGCATTTTGGCAGAAAAATTGAAATAAAAAAAGTACTCTTCTTAATGTGAAAGCCTTTATTTCACTGAGATGCGAGTTTTTCTATTTTAAGCGTTTTTCGCTGGGGAAAATAGAAAAATGGCCCTAACTTTTGAAGGAAGAGCCAAGAACCTGAATCCTTTTAGTCTTTTGGCTATCTCAATATACTCTATCGCTCCACATATGAACGAAGAAAAACTTAGTTGGTCACTTCAGAATGATTCCTCGTCAGCATTGCGTGGCAAAAGCCACCAAATGATGAAACTTTGGTCAGCAATAAAGCTATCATCATAGTGGAGAAAGTTGGTATGCTAATTAGATTGAGAAATACTACTAACATAGTAATATTAATTCCACTCACTCAGCACGGATGTTTTCTTCTACCTCCCAAAGTTTATTGACAATTGTACATTTGTAAAAACGTTTCAAACAACAAAATTACACAATCTAAATCCATGTTTCGCGCACAACTACGCGAAAATTCGACCATACATCATCCATTATCATATGTACTCGAAGATTATCTATCGAAACAGAATATTATCTTAAAACATAAAAAAAGATGTATAGCTGAATTAATTACCTTAGGAGTTGGTGTTGCAGGTCTTAGTTTATCATCATATAATAGTATTCAAATATCTAATATAAAAAACACCTAAAAAATACGTACAACGACGGGATGATTTATTAAAATCAACAACAGCTTCTGTAGTATCTGTAGCCGAAAACGAAAAACTAATTGTAGAGGAATTAGATAATTCTCGACACTGAATTAATGATCTAAGAGAACGATACATGTGGTATTTATTGATTGAATAGAAAAAAGATATGTTGAAAGAAGAATCATCGGAAATAAGAGACCGAAAAAAAATGTCGCTGACGTATGGTTAATTAATCAACGAGGGTGCAAAAAACTTGCAGAAAAGATTTATACCGCTGACGAGGAGCGAACCTCGACTCTGTCTCATCACCGTCGACGAGTGTGCAGCCCATTCTGCTATCAGCGCTTATGATCAGATATATATATTTTTTACTTAATCTGTTCTTTTTACGCTAAAGAAATGGAAAGGACATCGGACACGTTATTGAAATGGAATTGAAATGGAAAATTTTCCGGTGTTTTCGAATACAAACAATTAACATGTGACAGGTGTGATTGTTGAACGACAGTATCGAAATGATCGGCTACTCGATTAAATAATATAAAATGTGCGCTTAAACGATCATCATTATAATTAATCGGTCGTCTCAAATTTACTATAATAATAATCGAAAATGAAACAAACATATAAACTCTTGCACTATCTAAATTTTCTTTTTTTTAATTTGTAAGAAAACCGCATGATAAACAACCAACAGACAACATCTGTCAAATTAATCATTAAAAACGTCTTGTACAATAAAAGAATCGATCTGATTGAAATCAACTTCCACTATAGACGACTTTTCCGTAATTTTTTAAAAAATGACAGAAACGTTAAACTTTAGTTAAAATAGTTTGAATATAACCGTATAGGTTTTTCTGTCAAGGTATAGAATTTTAAAGAGCGCACTTACATGATCCTTCTTCATTATCGAAATCATTTTTTTCAAACTGATACACTACATTTCCAAAACAGTGTACAACAGTGAGTAAATGTGTCAACGACGGAACAGCTGGGTCTTTTACTAATAATCGTAGGTGTTGTAGCCGCGTTCCTTCAACTTCTTCTGTCGTATAAAATGTAAAACCATTATGTAAACCTTCATAATCGATTTTATTAACGAATTTTGTTAACATTATCGTAAATTTTGCACCAGTTGTACCACTGGGTATTGATAGTTTTGCGTGTTCAATATATGAAACTGTTGAACAGGTTGTCCGTGTTGTATTGCTAATACCATCAAATGCAGTACATAATAGCGCATTGACTTCAGATGTTTTCGGGTCTCCAATAATATAAATGCCAAGTTTTTCAAATGTAATATCTGCTTCTCCGTTGCACAGTAGCTTGTCTCCACTTTCAAATTGCTTTTTTAATGAAAAGCCATTTGTGTTGTCAATTATAGATGAAACATTAACTTCTGGTTTTATTATTTGTAATTTCTCTGATGTACGTAGATGGAAACAATTTTTCAACTGGACTTGCAGCTGCTTTCTATCTATCAATAACATTGGATTTACCGCTACCTACAATTGAAAGGCAAAAAGAGAAATGAAAAGGCATAAGAAAATAGTTCAATACTAAGCCTTTGACCTTGTATGAATCAAGTAATAATAGCCGCTAGTACCAGGCTGGTGGATACACTTAAAGAATACCATTAACTTTGCGTTATTCAAAAACGTGAAAAATAAGGAGATATATTATTACTTTTATTGGTTAAATAAAGCTTCTGAAATGCCATATATTAGCGTAGAGTCAATGTTCGCTCCGCAAGTGAACTTTTAAGTAACTATTTCTGAACGTTGTGTTGTTTACTTTTTTTGCTATGCGTTATCACAAATAAAATGATGCAATTTCGGTTGTAACAAAGCCGAGAAATAAACTTGCATTCGTTTGAAGCAGAACATATTTCGGTATTTGTTTCCTCTTAATTAGCAGGCATTCATTTTGTCTGCTCGCTTTGAATTTAGTCTGTCGAGCTCATTAATGTTCGAAAAATATTTTCCTCTCTTTTCCAGTTATACTGAGTTTAAAATAGGGGAACAGACAGGGCTGAGAAGAAGCTAATGTATGTATATCTTATCGATACTATCCTGTGCATTCGAAGAAGGATGTATAACTTAGTTTCAGTGTGGAAGACTCACTTATATACTACGTTTCTCATCTTACTCCTTACGTTAGACACACAGAATCATCTGTGTTGTAAATAGTATTAGTTTGATGTAAATTCTCAGAAAATAGTCAGAACTGAAAACGATACCGTCCTCAGTCTTTTTCACTTAATACTAAACTACTGTTTACAGAAAGTAAACAAAACGAACTATCTCCTTTCAAAAATTAGATAATGCTAATGAGTAGATGTATATAGCTTGTAAACAAATAAATACACAGAAACAGAGCGAAAATAGAACTAAACAAGACAGACTTTCAGCATTTGTCTAGATGAAGTTTTTTAGAGGCATTTAAAATGTCGTAAGCACTTGTAGAAAACAACAGGCTGCTGCATTTGAGTATGCAAAGTAATCGGCATACGGTCTAAACCCTATCTCATAGAAGTATAGCTTAAGTTTTCGTGGTTTACGTGATGAAAAGCGGAAGAAACGATGCTTACCACTAGGATCCGATACAATTGAATATATACCCAATGGTTTTGTTTGTCCGTACATATTTGAATATTGACTTTGTTGTGCAAAATGACCAGTAATAGGAAAATAACAGAAAAAATACGTCGATGCTAATGAGCCGAATCGATTTTCATATTCTTGAAATAGCGGAGCGAGATCAGCCAGTAAAGATATTTCTCCAGCTAGTTTTATATTGTCGAGCAATATAGGGGCTGACTTAAATGGCGTGGCTGACAACGACATTCTGTTAATAGCCAGTAAGAAATACTAATGTAATAGAAATAATAGTAACAGAAAACTCCAAAACAGAACTACATAAACCGGTACAAAAAAATTCTATCTAAAATCTAAACAGCATATAATGACTGTAAATAACCAATGAATAACATAAGTTTGCACATTGCTAATAAAATAGAAAAACAATTGATTGAAAAGAAAACAACAAGTGGAAGACTCGTGCACATTTCAGGCAAATGTCCGTAAAGGACGTACTGAATTCGTAGGGAAATCGGTAGCTACTTTTGGAACTGAATTTGATGTTCCCAATAATTCGTGGTCACTGTGGAAGCAAAGTAGTCTACCACTTTGTAAAAAACGATTCTGCCCCTGTTTGAAAACGAAGAGGAACATTTTGTTCTTGAAATTTTCTCTAATAATAAGTCATAGAATGCAAAGAAATATGACCGAGAAAATATTATGGACTGTGCCCACCATCTTTTGTGCCTATCGTATCTTCACTGTTGATGTCTCTTTTTGACTTTATTTGTCAGTGTACTTCCATTATGCTACGACAGATCACTAAAAGAAGAACCTGGACGTACAAGCTAGCAGATTAAACTATAATTTTTAGGATCACTATCAGTAAATATAAAATTTTACCACAGCTTCTTTCTTCAACGGAATAGATGGCGCCTTACTACAGAAATTTTGTCAAGGAGATGCGCAATAAAAACAAGATGATACATGCTCTTAAAAGTTTCTTGTGGTTCTTTTGTGGCTTAGCAAGAATTAATTTCTTCATTCAGAAGCTATCAGGTCACTGGAATACGAATTACATTTAAATGTGAAAATATATTCAAAGGTCCTCTGAAGGATAGAGCACATTCTCCTCATTAGTTGTGTCGTTCGACTTTCTTCTACAGCACTTTTAAGCGATTTTAGAAAGAGAAGACTAAATAAAAGCATAAACGAGAAACTCCAGAGGAAGCACCGTTTCATGCACAGTAATCTTAGATTAATTTCTATTTTCTACAAAATCGATTTGGAATTCTATAAAATTGTAAACGGTGAGCAATTTCTACAAAGTGGAAATTCCTTGTCAAATTTCCACTTTATAGAAAATCGAAAGACTTTCCGTAAATAATTTCCACGATTAATGTTGCTGGAACCCACGAATCACGAACAGGACATTGACAAAGAAGAGGCAACGCCATAGATACTACGGCAGCCACGGTAGGAATTAATCATGCGAAAATTTGTTTTCTGTATTACTCAACGGCTTGTCCACGTAACGCCCTACTTCGCTGATCAAGTTTTGTTTTCTATAGTTTTCATCACAGCATCAATAGAAGCACATCCCTAGACGCAGTTTTTTACGCTGAGCACGAATATTACGTTGTTTTTTTCAAAAAAAAGTTTAAAGTTTAATTAGAAAATTTTTGAAACTTTTAAAGATTTAATTTTAGTTTTCTGACCTAAACATTATCATCAAAAATTTTAAAATACACACCATTCGATAGAGAATTTAATTCTCTAAAAAATGGCTATTTTTGATCTGAAAAACATTGCTCGGGCGAGATACTGGGGCCCTTTGAATTTTAAAACCTGAGGTGAGCTGCCGGGACTTTCAAAAAATTTGTTTTCAACTGAAATGGGTTCAGAACACGGAAAACTATATACACTGTAAAAACAAAGCTTTTTGAACAAGGTTCAATAACTCAAAACGGAATGCCCCTGGAAAAAGCTTTTAAAACAAAATTGAATTTCTTAATTTTTTTTTTGTATCAGAACTTGGGTTTTTCAAAAAAACGATGAAACCATCAGTTTTGTGAAGAAGCACGGAAGTAAAAGTCAGTTTTTTAAAAAAACAACAATTTATCGGTTTTTCGAAAAAATATGTACAGATCTATTTTGGTGAAAGAAAGTAACTGTACTGTTTTCACTCAAGAAATGTTTTAAAAAAGACTGAAAACGTACAGTTATTTTCTTACATTTTTTTCAACAATAAATTATTGTTTTTTCAAAAAACTAACTTTCACTTTCCTGCTTCTTCACAAAACTGATGGTTACATTCCATCGTTTTTTTGAAAAACCCATGGAGGAGTACTGAAATACAAAAAAAATTAAGAAACTCAATTTTTGTTTTTCTTTAAATTTTTCCCTGGGGAGTGAAAAAGAAGTATTACTCACGAGGGAACCCCACGAAGTGATTAAACGCTTTTTGCTCGGAATCTAGTGGGTTATAGGTTATCGACCATGCTGATTACGAATACGACCATGCGGCTTCCGCATAGCCCTTCGAAGACCTGG